TGATTGTACTGAGGCCCGCGTCACTGGGAGCACGGCTGCCCGGCACCTGCAGCCATACCACCGGGCTGTGCTAGAGACCCTCACACTAACGGGAGGTGGAGAAGTCCGTGCCCACCCCGAGTCGAACGTCTGTTAGCGGTTCTGTTATACGCAGATACGCACTTCTACGACGCATCCCATGTTTCGTCCACTGCGACTCGCTGCGTCGACATGGCAGTCGATGGGTGAAGGCACCCTGCAGTCGCCGATCGGACCCTGGGACGCGATCTCCAGGAACCGTCCGCAATTACATCACGCACACGAGACGGCTATCACGGCAGCTATTGCACTGCTTCGCCCCGCTGTGAGACGTGCGCAACTTGTGATCGCCGCTCTTGGTCGCCCTTAGCGGTATCAACTCTTCTTCAATTCTTTACCATGATGTTTGCCACTGCGACACCGAGTTCACTGCAGTCGTCATCAGCCCTGGCGCTAAGCTACTATCGAAACAGCTTTTCTTGCGAGCGAATGGTGGGGTACCTACATGTCTTCAGACGCGGGAACATGCATGCGCCTCACTTTGTGGTGGCGCCAAGCACACGCGGCTGTCAGCATGTCATGCTCGTATTGATATGTGAATACAGTCATGATGGTGTCCACTTTGACGTTCTCGCATTGTAATGACTCCAAGACTAATGCGCCAGGAACCCGCTTTTGTGAGCAAAGGAGCTTCGTTCGCGGCACTGTAGCAAAATTGGAGCTGCCGGCGAAAACTGGCCGAAGACGATTACCACATCCCTAAGGACTGGCAGTCTGATGTCCGATAAAGCGCCGTGGTGCAAAGACTACTACTGCTAGGTCTTCGGCGCGGATACATGATCCAACGATGCTTCAGCTCAGACGACTTATAGCTTTCTTTTGCGGCGATGGTCAAAATCGGAGTTGGATGAGTGGGGTGATCCAAAACCTCCGCCAACGACATCACTACTATCCAATGGCATCAGGGTCTTATCAACTTGGCTTGGAGTATTCCGTGCAGTGAACATGAGCCCGGTGTATCTGCCCCCAAAAAAGAAGAGTCGTGCCAACCTACTGTGGGCGTGCTTGGTTCGTGAGCACATCGAGGAGGGTGGTATCTGCATGGAACTGTGAGAGTGTGATTGAGTTCTCCAAGCATCTGAGGACAGATGCAGACACTATTCTACAACCTGGAACTCAGACATTATCACATACGTTATGTATTACTCGTCAGCTAATTCGCATATGTGTGCGATACCGTTATTTGGTTCCATCCACTTCATCTACTGGTAATGCGACATCCCGAACCGAGTAGCGAGCCACTCACGACCCAGCAACACACAGTTATTACATACACGAGGGTACTCTCGAAAGCAATATTTCGCGATTATCGGAGACTTCGAGCATCAACCAAAGCCGCAGTCCAGATTTGACCTCGCCAACCGTCACCATTGATGGCTTCCATGTCACATGCCGGGTATATAGGGCTTAACCCGCGATGTCGTCTGCACCTACCAAAGAGCGGTTGCTTCGTAAACACCCAATTGCGAGGGCAACAGCGAATGGCGGGGGCCGCAGCGGAGCGAGAACAGGTGGGCAGCACCCTTCCTAGTTTAGCCCGTTAGACTTATTACACCATTCACATTGAACCACCTATCCATAACATTCCAGACGCTATTAGTCTCTACTCACGTCGCGAAGCCGCTCTCAATAAACCACCACCCCACAACACAATACCCGATGACCATCACTAAGGTTCGCGGCGCTGCCAGAAAGGCGAAGAAGCGACAAACCCTCTTGTGACCAGCCCTTATTCATTTACTTGCAACAAGAGTTAACGCATCATATAGGCTGGGTCACAGAATGCTCCGCCTCTACGTAGGCACATCGCGCCGCATATTCATGATGCATCTAGACATGCTTTGCGAGCGATCCACCTTCTTCAAAAACCAGCTCCAGGAAACAAGGCAGGATATCGAGGGCAACTGTGTCACATGCCACGAAGATCTCGATCCTGTCGCTCTAGACTTGACATACTGCAAGACATGTGGGAACAACGTTCACGAAAACTGCAAAGACGAATGGTACAAGATCGACAACACATGCCCTGTATGTCGTGCACAATGGGTCGAGCAGCCATACTTCCAGTCGATGGATCTTGCACAGGTTGAAGTCAATGGGTTCGATATGTACGCTCAGTGGTTCTACGGATACAGCCTCCCAGCATACAACGCGGATGGAGAGGGCGGTGAACTTCGTTGCATCCGGCTGATCAACGCGCATATCGTGGGCGACCTCCTGAAAGACAGTCAGTTCGTGCAAGCTGTGCGCAAGGAGATCATCAAGTGCAGCCTGAACATATCAGATGCGTCTCGCTACACACTCCTTACTCATGTTTACAAGAGCACAAATGGCCGCTGCGCTCTTCGAAAATTGTTCATCGACTTGCACATTCTCAGGAATAGGCACATAATGGCTCAGATGCGTGAAGCTCCCGAGGACATCACTCATGACCTTATACGCCGTTTACTGGAGAGGTCGAGGGCTCTTCGTGACGAAGATGTCTGGAGCTTCATGAGCGACGAAGGATATATCGAACAGGACGAGGCAAATATTGACGAGGAAGATGACACCACTGGAAATGAGAGCCTGGACAGTTGAGCAAGCGGGTATCGATCACGCTCAGCATGGTCGTTGGTGAGGGTTTGGGGTCATTCGAGCAATTAAGGCAAGACAGTTCCGCAGCCTGTAGAACCTGGGCTATCAAACAGATGCGGCTCGTCTTCTAGGACAGTTAGAGTATATTTGAAAAGGAATAAACTCACGTGTAACTACTCGAGCGCGTGCCACACGCATTCGCAAGGTCAGCAGACGGGAGAACCATGAGTAGTGTATCCAGTCGCCATAGCACACACAGGATGAAGTATAGCAACCATGCGCATACGTCGAATAGGCATCAAAATCGCGCCTTCCAATCTCTCGAAATGTGTCCTGTCGTCTCCGCCAAGCCGCTCGCATCCCACCCCCGAACTCGCATCCCTCGCCCAAACCAGGTTAGTCATCAAACCACCGAAGAACCACCAGGTTCCTGCATGCCACTAAACCGCACACGGCATTGTAAACTTCATCAACCACCCACCACCAACCCCCTCCAACCAATCACGCGCGCTGCGCAGATGTGCGCACGACGCCCGTGGAATCCGGGTCGGAGGGTTTGGCACGACCGTCTCGCCGTTACGCACGTTTGTTTTTGCCGATGCATGGGGCTGAAAGGCGCGAGAACCACGTTAGAACCACGTTTACGCTTCTAGCAAGCACCTGGGCATGCAAGGTGCAGGTGGCCCTGCGTTTTTTTATTAGGCTGACAAGCACTGGTGTATTCGGTATGTTCCGGATGGGAACGTGGGTGGAGGTACATATACGAGGCTATAGTACTTCGAGGTGGTGAACCGCTCCAGCAATTTCGACTTTCTTACCTGCTTTCGTGTGTGTGTGTGGGGGTATTCAACTACCAGGACGCCACGATGGCTGCTACCAGCACCCCACCAGAAAAGGAACCGCACATATCCTCCCAACCCATCACCTGGAAGAACTGGTACAGGAAGATAAACTGGCTCAACACAACCCTCGTCATCCTAGTCCCAAGCTACGGTCTCTACCTCGCTCGTTCCACATCCCTCACCCTCCCAACATTCCTATGGAGTATTGTCTACTACGCCACAACCGCCTTCGGTATCACAGGCGGATACCATAGGCTGTGGAGCCACCGATGCTACTCCGCACGTCTCCCCCTACGCTTATTCCTCGCCTTCACAGGAGCAGGAGCAATCCAAGGTAGCATACGGTGGTGGAGTGCTAATCACCGCGCTCATCACCGGTGGACGGATACGATGAAAGATCCCTACTCGGTTATGCGCGGACTCTTATTCTCCCATATCGGATGGATGGTGCTGAACAACGATCCGAAAGTTAAAGGACGAACGGACATCTCTGATCTGGATAGCGATCCCATCGTCGTGTTCCAACACAAGCATTACGGCAAACTGCTCCTGTTTACAGCCTGGATCTTTCCTGCCATGGTTGCTGGTTTGGGATGGGGCGATTGGTGGGGTGGATTTGTGTATGCGGGTATTATACGGGCGTGTTTCGTACAACAGGCTACGTTTTGTGTGAATAGTCTCGCGCATTGGATTGGCGAGCAGCCGTTTGATGATCGGAGGAGTCCGAGGGATCATGTGTTCACTGCGTTGGTGACGATGGGGGAGGGGTATCATAACTTTCATCATGAGTTTCCGTCTGATTACCGTAAGTTGCTGCTTCTTTTGAGCTATGGAAGCTATGATAATACTGATGCTTGAAAGGGAACGCGATTGCCTGGTACCAATACGACCCTACTAAATGGCTCATCTGGATCATGTCGAAGATCCCGGTCTTCCCACTAACATACGACTTGAAGACTTTCCGCTCGAATGAGATTGAGAAAGGTAGACTCCAGCAGCAACAAAAGGCTCTCGACAAGAAGCGATCTATGCTCGATTGGGGTGTGCCACTCGCTCAGTTGCCGGTGATTAGTTGGGACGACTTCCAGACTCAGGCTTCAGCTAAGGGTGCTGCTTTGGTGGCGATTGCTGGAGTGATACATGACGTTTCGCCATTCATCGCTGATCATCCTGGCGGCAAGACTCTGATTAAGAGTGCGATTGGGAAGGACGCTACTGCAGTGTTCAACGGTGGGGTATATGAACATTCGAACGCGGCACATAATTTGCTGTCGACAATGCGTGTTGGCATATTACGAGGCGGACAGGAAGTTGAAGTTTGGAAAACAGGTGGTGAGAAAGACACCAGAGATACCAAAGGGCTCGGTGTTGTCAGGGCTGGTGATCAGATCACGAGGGTAGTTGCGCCAGCTACAGCTGCCACAGCAGCCTGAACGATATGAGGTCGAGTATTGAATCGTTTATTTCAATCAAACAACTCTGGTATCGTATACTGTCCTCATCCTACTTGTTCGAAGGGACCTCCTCCCATTGTACTCCGACCCATTCCTCCAAATATCCGACTTCTCCTTCCTGAACATCGTTGGGTTTGCAGTCTTTGCTGCATACTGCCATGATAATAGTGCCCCATTCCATGCCGTCGAGACTCATCTCATCAGCCTCAAGCTCGGTGATCGCATGCGGTGTTAGTTGAACTTCGAAGACTCTGTCCGCGCCACAGGTCGAACAGCGAGGGAACCCAGCCCCACTCCGTGAGCCTGCTGTCTTGACTTTTGCATTCGACGAGGAACCGTTCTCCGAGTGTGGACCTAGAAGCTTGCCGATAGCATCGTTGTCGCTGTACAGGAGCGGCTTGCCTTTGTACTCATATCGTAGCACCTGCTCTGCATTCTCTCCGATGCGATCTGCAAACTTCTGGAACGTCCTGTCCATGGATGACTCAAACACCTCCTTGTCTTCTTTTCCACCACCGCTACCGCTGCCTTCATTATCTGTGTCCATCCGCACGTTCGCTGGGATCGAGGGTGTTGAAGGGGCGTCTAATGTCTCGTATTCGGCGTCGAGGTGATAGTGAGGGAACGGTGTAGGGAAGGCGGAGTCTGCTGGCCATGGCTCATGTGGACGCGGAGGCTGTTGTTCGGAGGGAGGTGGTGACGAGAGACGAGCTTTGGATGCGAACGTCTCGGGAAGGGTCGTAGAGGCTTCGTCTTTCTTCTCTTGGGGCTCGCTAACTTGCACTGCGGGCGTGGGAGTCGATGCGCCGAAAGGATTCGCACCTGGTTTGGAGAAGGGGTTCGATGATGCTGCGCCATTCGGGTTGGACGAAAACGGGTTCGAGAAGGGATTCGCGGATGTCGATGCGCCTGTCCCGTTCTTCACTCCGAACAGCGACTCGCCAATCTTGGGCTGCGGCTTCGCTTCTTCCTTGACTTCCTTCTTCTCGGCCCTGGGGGCGCTAGCCTTGTTGTTGGCGCCTTTTGCGATGCGCACTCCGCGAATGCCCCTCACACTGCCCTCCTTCCTTCTACACGGCTTGCGCCGACATGTCCAGATGTAAAGCCGCCGCTCGTGGCCAGGAAAGTTGTCGGGAAGGTCGCCGTTGAGTTCGAGGAGGAGGCTGAGGTAGCCATTGCAGACTTTACATTTTGCTAAGGCGCCAGAAGGGGCGGTCTTCTCATCTATCCAGCTCTACTATGATCGTCAGAAAGACGCTCGACGTGGTTGATGATATGCGTACCGGTGCGCCTCCAATGTGGGAAATCGCGTCGCCCGTTGCTTCCCTCGCTGCATATCCTAGCAGAACATTCGTCTCGGTGTAGTCGCCTCCATCGTCTGAAGAATCACTGTCATAGGGCGCCATTCTGGTTGTTCTCGTGTATATTTCCACAGGTGATTGTTTGGCGGGGTCTAACTTTTTTGAATATGACGCGGGGCTGCTCGGTGGCCAATGCGCCTTTTGTCGCACTGAGCGAATTTGACCAAGCCTGCAACACCAACTCTTCGTCGCTCATCTACACAACCACCATGGGCGCCCCTTTCGACTTCGCGCCTGAGCGGCCGGATCACATGCAGCAGATCCTTGATGGACTGGATCGCTACAACCCAGAGACGACGGGTGTCTTCCAGGACTATGTCATGCAGCAGTGCGAGAACCAGACGTACGACTGCTACGCCAACCTCGCCCTGTTGAAGCTGTACGTGTCTCCCCTACTCTTCCTCCCATGCTACAAGATGAATAAACAACCACAACGTTTCCTATTACCCGAGGGATGGAGCATGAATCACTCCCCCGCTGAAGTTTATTATTAGCTCTATCTGACAGCTTTCTCCTGACTACCATTGTACCTCAAGCATCATCGTTACATCTGCTAACCACGATGCTCCAGCTACCAATTCAACCCACACCTTGCCCGTGACGAGACCATCACCAACATCCTCGTCAAGGCTCTCACCGTCTTCCCCTCCCCCGACTTCTCCCTGGGCCTGTCCCTCCTCCCCCCACACGTCCTAGCTCCTCTTTCATCTTCATTACACAACCCAGCTGCTGGCGACGCGCCGCTATCAGAAGCTGTCCAGAAGCTCAACGAGCTGAGGAATTTGCTTGAAGGTGCCGACTACTCTACCTTCTGGTCCACACTAGACTCCGACGACCTGTACGCCGACTTGATTGCCGATGTCTCAGGGTTTGAGGAGCTGATGCGCGTACGCATCGCTGCAACCGTCAGCCAGGCGGTGCGCGAGGTTGACCGCAGCATCCTCGAGTCGTGGTTGAACCTCTCTGGAAGCGAGTTCGACAACTTCGTCGGAAGCGTTTGCGGGTGGAACATCGATGGCGCCAAGATCAAGGTGCCTATCAACAAGGACAACGAGGCTAAGGGCACCGTTGTCCGTGAGAACGTCAAGTTCGATCGTAAGTACATCAGCACCACAAACGTCGAGTCGCTGCTAACAAGCCTATCAGAATTCGCAAGGGTCATCAAGAGGGCATACGAGCAGCCCGCATGAGCGACATGATTTATAGTATGACGACATGAGGCTACGGTTTGCACGGTCGGCGTTTGAGGCGGACATTACAACTGCATCAGTATGCGACAGAAGCGTACCAGCTGGCCTTCGACAACCGCACAGGTTGATTTCGATGGCTTGCTATATACCCCAAAAGTACGCCGCTATGAGCAGGGCCCAGGAGCATGAAATCTCCATGGGCTAACAAAGATCAATCACATAAATCCGACAAAGTTCAGACAAAGTTCACTGCTCCTCCTTTCCTTCTTTCGCAATCTAGATCTCCTTTCCGTTTCGCTTCTAACAACCCAGTCCCTGTCAGAAAACGGTGGATGACGGTCCCATAGGCTCGGAGAATCCTGACCTAAGCTTCTCACACTCGCCAATAATCAGCCGCATGTCTATCATTCGTTATTAAATGTCCGACATCTGGAGCAACTTCTGGCTTGTAACATGGCGCGACAGTCGCATTGAATCGTACTGCGATAGGGAGTGGTGCCAAGTCGATGCGCAACGGCCCCGTGAATTTCGCTTATGCGTACGCCACCTTTGCCTCTTACCAACCGTCCAACCCTGTCAACAACAACACCAAGGACAACTTCTACGTGTTTACCATTGCGCATTCCAGTCGATAACCATGTGGCGCGGCGGGTTAGCTCCTTTCGATCAGGTTTTGACCCTGACAGCTGAAGCTTGTTCGACATGATCACAGCCTGGAGTGTGCTTTTTGCGTTGAACTATGCAACGCGAGTCTGCGATTGTATATGGTTATGGTAGGGGTCGATGTCTTTTGCGGAATTCCTTACCTTCACTTTCACCTTCACCTTGGTCGGTTTCGCTTCGAGATAACCGGTGTCCACATTCCTCCAGTATCTACCAGTAACATTGCGAGCTCACATGCCCGTCCATGTCACACACAACATACACGAAATCTCCACATCACCGTCCAAAGACCAATCCTACTGACTTGGAACAATTCAAGTCGAAGTGCACTGGTAGCAACATCTAGCTCACGTCACACGCGGCTTCTCGTCAGGTCTCACTCGTGATCGCCTCGGCTCAGCTGCTTCAGCTACCTGCAGGTTACACGGAGCTGAACGGTCCATCAGTTTGAATCACATTCAAAAAGCGATTGAAAGTCTGCAAAATCGCCCAGTTGTACGACCTTCCCAAACATCGACAATACGTCATCATGCCTCTCCGGGAATTCTTACTCTTCATTGTGTGCGCCATTCTCACCTTCGCGACCGCGCAAGCCAGTCCACTATCGTCACCGCAGCAAGCGCCTTCTGTCAAGCGCGGCACGAATGCCGTTGTCAATCCCTCATTCGAAATCCCTGTGCTGTCTCCGTGGATGGATATGGTAACCGGTTCGTGGTACTCGCGCGGAATATCCACCTCCCCTACAGGCGGACACTCCGGCAGTAATCTCTACGCCGCGACATCGAATAGCTCAGCGGTCCAAGCTACACTCACGTTATCGCAATCCTACATTGATCTTCCTGTCGGTGCGACGGTCGATTGCTACGCATGGGTTAACGGAAGGAGACCGAATGGGCAAACGCGCGTTGAGATCTTTCTGGATCAAGTCAGCTGTGGAGAAGCACTTCATATGGGGGCTGGACAAGAAGGCTGGACGAAGGTTGGAGGGAAAGTTCAAGTGCAAGATGTACCTGGAGGCGTTGGACATTCGGTTGCCGTCAGTGTGCAGGGCGATGGTGTTGAGGATGAGGAAGGCTGGAGAGTGGCTGTTGACGATGTTGGCGTGATGGTCGGATGCTAGACGAGCGGAAATGAGTGGCATGATTCAAGTGATCAGGTCAGGCTGGGTAGAGAAAAGCCGTGTCAGCTGGAGATTGTCCAAGGGCTAAGACAAATAAAAGTGTCCAACAAAGAGCTGTCACTGTCGAGTGAACTTGATCTACCAGAGACAAGGAGAAAGATATGGAGCTACGATATCCACAGAGGCGAGACCGAGTATCTTACTAAAAGACTTCGCGCTAGCGGTCGGATTTGGCAGCTGCAGTACTCTACCCAGAAGTATTAACTATCCCCCGATCGTCGATCAACCGCGATTTCCAAACACTTCAATCACTCCGGTTCCTTCAGTCCAATCTCCGCCGCCTTCCGGTCGCAGAACTCGGCCATGTCCACATCCTTGATACTCAGTCCCTCGGGCTTATGCGTAGTCCACTCAATCTCGACCCTATTATACAGGTTCGACCAACTCGGATGATGCTTCTTGACCTTGCACTCATCCGCAACGAGCGACATGAACCGCCAAGCCTTTGCGAAACTGGTAAATGTAAAGGTGCGCGTGATACTCTTCTTCCCAGCGTTGATTTGCCATGCAGGAGAGAGGCTGGACACGCGTTCGGGTAAGTCAGTGGGCTGGTTGGCCGCGTAGATCATGTCATATGCTGCATCTTGTTTCGGCTGCGCTGCCGGACTAGATGACGGACGAGAGCCAGTGGATAGTGACCGGAACCCCGTACGTGCGCTTGCGTATCCCGCATAAGGTAGGGAGGTAGCTTGTTGCAGCGGCGGCATTTGTGTTTGGAAGCGGGTCAGCAAAGACGTTTTGGTGCGACAGTGATGCTGGCACAACGCTTGATAAGGTGAGCTGTGATTCGATGGTTAGATGGGTTTGAGTTCTGAGTCATCAAGGCAGGTGCTCGGGGCTTTGGTCAGACGAGGGAGTGGCTTGTTTGTTGGTCTTGGGGTCTTGGGGGGACTAGTTGGTGGACTTACGGGAGAGCCCGTAAGAGATTTGGGGGCCTTGTCATGATGTAGATGGACTTTGGTGGTGGTGAGGGGTTCAAGTGCAAGCAAGCATTGATGGATTACGGCTAGTTCCCTTTTCAGAAAGAGTATAGGAGTAATTTATCAGACTGTACCCAGAAGAGAAGAATGATTAGTTGTAGGTTGCACAACAGATGCAAAGGCGATGCGCAGTGAGGAGCGGAGTAGGAGTGAGAGCTAACTACTACGATACGCCTTGCAAACGCGCATGGACCAAGGGTCTCGAAGATTACGGAGTACCCAAACGGCCATGCATCTAATCAAGATTTTGAGGAAGACAATGAGAGTTGTGTAATGACAAGACTCGTGCATGAAACTAGATGGGATGAGATGAGTATCACAAGATTCGCCTTGACAGCCATCGGCTGATGCTGCACATGCGCTTAGATGGACAGATGGGAATAGCAACGGCTGATCCGCGCGGCAAGTCATCAGCGTGGAGACATTGAAGGAAGGCGTACTGAAGCAGCGATTAACCTATCTCAGAGCGCAACAAACACTCCATTCGGTCCTTACGGGAGCTTCGGATCTGGAGACACATACATCCGATATACACTCTGTAATCAAACGCGAGAGACTAGCCCGTAGAGGATTAAGGTGTGTTTGACGGGTACCAGAGGGTCGGAGTCGGGGAATTGGTCAGCATCAGCGCGCAAAAAGCAGGTCGCTGGGATGCAGTAGGCAGGTCGTCGGATGGCAGCCGAAGCCAGACAGAGAAGGGCTCGGGGCGCTGATTTGCGCAGCGTGAGATGGGGCGAGTCGTGATGGCATGAGGGGAGCGTGTGCCATGGATTGCATTGTCCTGCTGCTTGAGCGTTCCCGAGGCCGACCTTGCCGCCCTGCTCTGTATATAGCGCGCATCGCCCTCTTCTTAGTCAAAGCTGCGTAATCCACTCGACCAACTGCATCGTCACGATACAGGTGAGCTGCCCCAGCGTCCTACAACCCGAGACGCGCAACCAAAATGCCGTCGCAACACTGCGCGCCTGTCTTGGCGCTGGCGAGCGCTGAAGCTGACTCTCACAGCACCCGCGCGCGCTCTTCACGCACGGCAGCCTGCCCTCTCGCACCACCACCTTGTCGCGACGTCACCACCGCCGCCGGACCGCGCCCGAGGACCGCTGCTGCCACCCCGTCTGCTGCCGCCCCAATTCCCACGTTGCTGTCTAATCAACGCCACAACACCCTCGCTGCGGTGCTCCCGTGCGACGCGCCTTGAATGAGCCAAACTCTGGATCCTGCGATCCAAGCCAGCACTGGCTATAACATGCAGGCATCTGCCGCTCAGGTAAGCTGCGCTGACTATTCAGGCCCGTTGCGCTGCTGACACGCCGCTTCAGGATCAATCCAAGCCGACCATAGAGATGAGTTAGTGCCCCGCGCATCCCTACCCTCCTGCCGATTACTAACACGTATCGTCGTGCAGGCTTAAGAGAACATCTGCTCGCTGCTGGCGCTGGACAGCCCGGCGTGCAGCCTCTCCCCCAGCACTCCCCACACGCCCAGCATTCCCAGCACCCGCACACTGCTGGCCCACCACACGCCATCGACCCGGCCATTGGGGGCTCCGCCTACGACATGAGCGCCGGCGGCCCCGACGATGGGAACACGAGCGAGGGTCGCTCCAAGGGACGGAGAGAGCTGTCGACATCTAAGCGTGCCGCACAGAATCGCGCTGCCCAGGTACATGCAACGCGCGCATTCCAATGGCACAAGCTAACACCACCAGCGCGCATTCCGCCAGCGTAAGGAAGAGTACATCAAGCAGCTGAAAGACCAGGTCAAGGAGTTCGAGCAGCTATGCGAGCTGTACAAGACGCTCCAAACCGAGAACTACCAATTGCGCGATTACATCATCAATCTGCAATCGCGACTACTCGAAACCCAAGGCGAGATACCACCTGCGCCGGCCGGTGTAGATCTCAACCGGCCCCACGAACAGCCAAACATGCACCAACAACCGAACCCACCACAGCCGCCCCAACAGCCCGAGCAACCACAGCAGCAACAGCAGGGCTCGAACAACAACAATGGAGGACTCTCGGAGCACCAAATCGGCGAACTGCAAATGGCAGCGCAAGCTGCAGCAGCCGCCCAACACAGCGCATCAGGCAACAAGCACACCAGCTCTGAAGGTTCGTACGACTACGCCGAGAAGCGCCAAAAGGTCGACGAGCCACCGCAAGGTCAGCAGCACCCTTCGCCGTCCTCTTTCTACCCCAACCCAGACGCTTATTGAAGATGAAGAAGCAGCCGGTCCGATCCATGGCTTACCAGCATAGTAGGCTCCGGTTCCTCCGCCGCAGATTACGACGCTTTCGTCAACGAACTGCAGCAATCGTCCAGCAAGCAGACCACATAGGCACATCGATACTCACATACCCCCGTCGCGTCTGCTCATCTCCTCCTCCTCCTCACCTCTTATCGCTATTTTAATTCGCTTCTTCGCCATACTTTTCTAGCCTCGCTTTATGATGTAATGCATAGGCCCTGAAGCCTGTCCTTTTATTCGCTCGGGCCGGCGGTGTTTTACTGTGCTGGGCGTATGGAGTTTGTGTGTCATTGACACACTTACCACGTTTTTATTCCAACGCAGTGTATGGGTCAGGGTAGACTGGACCGTATTTGTAGCCTCTCCCCGACAGGGTTCTGTGCTGCGCTGTGCTGTGCTGTGCTGTTTTAGGGGAATACCAATGTTTTCGGTGGCTTCGAGCTGCTTCCACCCTCATACCTTTATGCGGTTGAGTGAGACCTTCGGTCTTGCCTGCGATGAGTATTGTTTCGCGTGTTCCTTGATATCTATGCGCGTGTCGTCGCTGAGTCTGCTCAAGTTTGTACGGTACGATATTGTAAATGGCGTTCGGTAGTCCATTGCAGCCGAATAAATCGCCGAGCGGATGTTGGCATTGAGACGACACCTCTTGATCCAGCTCTGTGACTGCAAGCAAAACGCTCCTTCCCTGGAGCTGGAAATTCACGACAATCACTCATCGCGTGCGAAATTCTCAGGAGACTCATAGTGTGTAACTCTATAAATTACAATCTGGTACATTAAACGATTGGTATCATACTCCATATCATGCCCCATCCGCGCATTCATCGCATAAAAAAAGGTGACCTATCAAACAGTCCAAAGGAAGAAGGAAGCTCTAGCTGACATCTAGAAATGGGGCGTGTTAAGCGCCATAACCATGAGCAGACCGGAGATAAGACCAGCACCGGGCAGGGTGATGACCCATCCAGAGAAGATGAAGCCAACCTGCTTCCAGTTGACGGCCTTGAGGTCAAAGTTGCAGAGCGCAACGCCAATGGTGGCACCAGTGAGACATTGCGTGGTGGAGACGGGGAGAGCGAGACGCGAGGCGAGGAGCACGGTGATGGCGGCACCGAGCTCCATGCTGAAACCACGGGTGGGCGAGACTTGGGTGATCTTGTTGCCGAGCGCGCGTACAATGTGGTAGCCGTAGAACCAGAAACCGATGCCGAGGAGGAGACCGGCGACGACGAGGATCCAGATGGGGGTGTCGGCTTCCTTGGTTACGACACCAGTGGTGTAGGTGTTGTAAGAACCGACCCATGGGCCGACAGCGTTGGCAACTGCGATGGGGAATTAGCATGTGTGTGGAAATGAGTGTTTCAAAGAGTATAGCTTACCATCATTGGAACCGTGGGCAATAGACATCATCATGGCGGAGGCAACTTGGGCGTAGGTCCAGAGATGCTCGACGCGGTTGTCGTAGACAATAGCGCGGGAGTGGACATCGGCGAGATCCTTCTGGGTAACTACATCGCGGGAGACACCCTGGAGAAGGATAAACTTGGTCCAGTTGGCGATCTTCTTGGGAGAGTAGAAGGGAAGGTGCTCGACGGGCTTCAACCAGCGCTCCTCAGGCTCAGGGGTGGCGGGGACAATGTGAGCTACGGCGCCATCGCGGGGAAGAGGACGGGAGAGGCCGCGGCCACCTTCGACGTCAATGTTGTCGCTGTCAGAAGACTTGTTGTCGAGGGAAGTAGAGTGGCCAACAGCCTTCTCGCCCTTGAGTCCATCGCTCTCTTGGATCGGGACAGGGGCAGCCTTCGCGTAGTAGTCGGTGACGACCTGGTCGCCCTTGCCAGGGAAGTAAATGGGAGGGTTCTCGCGGTACAGAAGGGGACCGAGAGGAATGTGCCACGCCCTCAGCCTGGTGTCACCCTTGACAAGGCGGCGGGTGAAGTAAGGGATGAAGAAGATGTAAGAGATGGCAAGCATGCCGAAGAAGACACCAAGGATAATACCACAGGCCTTGCCAGCGCCCATCTCCTCAAGCGACTCGCCATTTGGCAGCTCGTCGATGATGAAGAGAGCGAGGACACCAGCGGTGAAAGCCAGGTAAAAGGGAATCAGGCGCATAGCCCACTTGAAGGGGTCCTTGCGGTTGTGGACACCGAACTTGATGGTCAAGAACAGGACGGCAGCGAAAGCGGCGGACAGGAAAGGCGCAATGACCCATGAGGCGGCGATCTGGGAGATGGATCCCTTCTTCCAGCCCCAGCTGAGAGGAGATTGAGCAGCAATACCGGCACCAGCGAGAGCACCAACGACGGTCTGGGTAGTCGAGACGGGCATACCAGCGATGGTAGCGACAGTGAGGAAGACGGCGGATCCGACCTCGGCGCAACCCATGGCAAGCATGAGGGTACCGGGTACAGGCTTGAAGGTGTCAAGGGCGAAGATACCGCTCTTGATAGTTCCAGTGACTCGTGATCCGAGAGCGACAGCACCGAGGAACTCAGTGAAGCAGGCCAGAATACCAGCCTGCCACATCTTCAAGGTCCTCGCAGCCACGGACGTGGCGTAGGAGTTGGCGACATCGTTGGCACCGTTGGAGGCGGACGAAGCGACAAAGGCGATGGTGGTAATCGCTAGGATCCAGTCGTACTTCTTCAAGGCGGGAGCCATTGTGGGTGAAGAGTGGCGAGCAGTAGCGCCGGTTGACTGAAAGGCTGAGGTGTTGTGAGGTGTCCTGACTGTTTGGTTGAACGAGTGCAGGGGAGTTTAAGTACACAGCATACAAACGGAGGCGTGGGATCTTGGCGGCGCAGATGACATTTCACTGCAAGTGGACTTTTGTGGACGTCAGACGGTGTTGCCTGCCTCTTCGAGGCGCGGTGGATCATCGAAGCCACAATATCATGCTATTCGGCTCTGGCCGTGGTCCAAAGGCCCAACAACACCTATTTCCTGGACCCTCAGCGCCGCTCCGGGGTGAGCGTTCGGGTGCAAGAGACGTGTGATTGGTCTGCAGGACCCCCAAGCCTGGATCCACGCGCATGGCATGTTGGTGTCGCGTTAAGTCTCCACTGTGTCTTGTCGCGGGTCTTCGCCATCGCCTTGGTGTAACCAAGTCAAGGTGAACGAACGAGCGTTCGACGCTGTACCACGTTCCCTTGGCGCCCAGTCCGCCCAGCCCCACGCCAAGCTGGGCCTCCATCCTTCGAAATCTCTGATAACCCCAGATCATCGTAGACGCCGCTAACTCTCCAGCCAATCACATTGCGTCCTTTTACCTCGTGGTAGAACCACGCCCTCAGAGCGTGCTACACGACTGCGGATGGCAGAGCGTTGTATTGGTATTCACGAACTACGGTGCCGCATAACCGCGTTCCCGTCCGCCTAAGTAAGCCTTACAAGGATTGCCGAGGCAGCCTTCGTCGAGCTTCGGTGCTGCCATGAGATGAGGCAAAGCCTTGTCAACCACTACAAGCCGTTCATTGAAGACATGTGCCCCATTATCTACTAGGTAGCAATTCGTCTAAACATGCAAAGAAGGAAGTTGATCGGGCTGACCGAGTGGGTGTCATGACTTCGCGAGGAGATGATGATGGAATATCGCCAGGGTCTACCAAAAAAGAACTGCGAGCTGAAGGCTAACAGTGACATTCACACGCGCCTGGTACATGGGACCATGGATGGAAGAACGTCGGATAGACGCCGAGTTAGGTAAGCCAGACATGTGCGCAATCGGTCCGTGGCCATCGCGTCTCTCGCATCTATTTTCAACACATCACCTCCTGTCTTCTTCGAACAACATGGTATTGTCTTGAATCATCATTGGTTCCATTCACTCGGCGAGCTCCGGGATGCCAGTGGCACGTTGGTAGGGCAGACCTTATGCAACAGCCCACTGTAACCCCATTAATCCATGTCGTCCCTGTTCATGCATGGAAGCCCGCGAATTCTCCCTGCATGCTCATATCCGCTGTCAATGTCCCAGACCCATGGTACACGAGTTTAGACCCGCTTGCATATAAGAGGCCGCCGGCACTTGCAGGACCCATAGCAAACAAGGGTCAGTGCGGTGTTACAAATCAGGACATGTTGGCACCATGTTTACGGAAAGGTGTCTCATATCTTAATTGCATTTGTCTTCCAGCTGCAGGAGCAAACATTCTTCTTTGCAGTCGGACCCACTACCTTCTCAGGCACCCGAGCACACATGCTATATGCTTCCGCGCTAGACTTCACAATTTGCCCACTCTCGTCCATCTCCCCACTCCATCCAGCTGTGCAGCTCTTCAACCATCTCAAGATACGGAATTGACCCCCTTGGCAAGCGCAGACACTTTCTGACCAGCCTATCGAACACTTTCTTCAGCTCAACACAGTTGTCCAACGTAAGCTCTGGAATTTGTCGTCTCATCTCGCTCGCCAAGAGTATGAGCGCCAGCACCTTTTCCCCGCCCCGAACCGCGTTGTAATCGCCGAAAGGAATGTGGATAGATTCTCGACAGAGTGCTTCGACTGTAGGAACGATGGAAGTAGTGATGGACTTTCCATCTTTCACGTTGATCACAGACGCGAGTGGAACGTTGTGAAGCAGAAGATATTGGGTGATGAGTAAGGGAAGTGATCCGTTCAGCGCCGCGATGAGATTCCGCATCGTAAGCTGAACGCCTCGGTCGAGCGCCAGTTGTATGATAGCGCGATGACCGTGTGTCGCAGCGATGAGCACAGTGTTGACGTCCGCATCATCTGGATGTACCAAATCTTTGTCGAAGACGTATTGCACAATGTGGGTATGACCGTGTTTGACCGCAAGACGTAAGCCTGCAGTCAGGGCATTCCAATAGGGCAGGTCGGCGATTAGAGGATTCCATTGGTCCATGAGCCATATGAACACGTCCAACTGTCCCCACCTCATGGCATCGGTAAGGTAGTATGACCGGGACTTCATATGCGCTGGTATTTCAACGCGGCATCTTGGCAAGAAGTTGAACAGCGTGACAACGGCCCTCAGTTTTCCGGTCCGAACTGCGGCTCTTATTGCGGAAGTGATAGTCTCTGTGAGTGGACCGCAACGGGTGATACGACCGTGCTGTATCCGAGCGAAATGCCGCTTCGTGAGCTCATTGTTGACTTCTATGAGCAGACACTCAAGAACTTCGACATTTCCACTGCAGGCTGCCGCGGTTACAGGGTTACCAAAGCCAGCAAAGTATTTGGGGAACCAGTCAATGACCTCAGCAGATTGCGAAATGTAGTGACGAACAGCTGCGAGACTCCCTGCCATAGCTGCTGCTGCCAGCATGTCGTTGACGTTCTCTTGTGCAGAGTTGAGATGGTCCCGTTCCCTTTCCGCTATGCTGCGCGAACCAGGTCTGAAGATTGGTGTGAAGACGGAGTCCAACGTCAATGGCTTTGTGTCGAACATAGTCCGTGGGGCAACTTCGTTTGTAAGGACCAGACCATGGATAAGTGCGTTTAGATAGTCCTTTCGCAGAACGGAATGATCTGTGCCCGTGGTAGCAAACTCCATGAGCTTATCCGTGACCTTGTGTATAAAACTCGGCAGTCCAGAGGCTATGATATGGTTGTCTTCGATGTGATTGAGCAGATAGATCTCGATGTTGCTCAGAAGGTAGCCCTTGATGTCAGATGGGAGCGTACCCATCGAGTCGGTATCATTGTCCTTGTTATAACGCGATATAACGTATAGCTGATGCAGAGGAGGTAGAGGGTTATGAATATCAAGGCTAACAGGGATCGCCTGGCGTTGATGGTAACGACTGTGGAAGTCCGCAACGGAAGTTTTTGCAAGAAGTTCGTTGTCGATGTCTCCGGCAAATGTACCTGTCTCTATTAGCTTCACCGTACAGTGCTGTCACGAAGTTCTAATGTGTACGGGACACGGCGCGCAGTCGGATTAGCTCATGGAAGGGCACTGCACGCGCAAGGGCGGCGACAACCCTCTCGAAGAGCTCCGGTGGCAGATCGAGTAGCTGCATGTTAGTAGCTTAAAGCAAGTGAGAGTGGTGGAGTGTGAAAGAGAGGGTTCGAAAGTAGGAGGAGGTGAGTGAGGGTCTTTCCAAGGTGGCTGTAATAGGCAGTGGCGTTGATAAGCGAGGTGAATGAGGAAAGAGCAAACATGCGCGGCTGAACGCATGAATCAAGTCCACTTAGATCAAAAGAAAAAAGAAGGAACGATAGTCCTGTTGGTATATAGGAACGCCGTGGTAACTAGGCATAGATTTAATTAAGAAGATTATAGATCTAAGAAGAAGAATTAGGTATATAAAGTAGCTAAAATCTAGTAATTCCTCTCTACTAGTATCTACTAAAAGCGTAATATAAAATATATAAACTTTAATTAAGCCTACTAAGTATAAGTAAAGTTAAAGCTCTTAAAGAATAGTAAAGCTATATATTTTATTTAGGTTTTTATTAATAACTATAGTAAGTAAAGTAACTAAGTATCTTTAAGACTTTAATAATATAAATTCTTACTAAGTAGTATTAAATATCTTTTTTATATAGCTTTTACTTACTTTTTTATTTATTATTTTTTTTTTTATTTAAAGCTTTTCTATTAAGCTTAAAAACTTTTTTATTATTAAAACTACTTTTTTAAAAGCTATAAGCGTACTTTTAAAAACTTATTTAAGTTTTAGCGTATTACGCGCTATAACTTTAAAACTTATTTTATATAAGATAGGTTTTTCTTTTATAATACTTACTAGTCTTACTAACTATATATTAGTATAGATAGTTAGTATTAATAGCTTATTATTTATATTCTCTAACTAAGCTACTAAAAGTTATTAAGCTCTTTAATTTAACTTTTATATTATTAGTAATATTATTTTTTATAATTATAATAATATATTACTTATTATCTTTTTTATACTCTAAAAGACGCTTCTTTACTATACTAAAATTTTTAATTTATATCTTAACTTTAGCTTTTATATTTAGTCTAATATTATATATATTAAAAAATAAGTTTAGTAAATAAAAGTAATAGCGTAAAAGGTAATTAATATAAGCTTTATAGTAAGCTTATAAAAAGTAAAAAGCGTAGTATAAATAGTAAGAATATTATTATATTATTATAGTAGCGTAAAGTAGATAGTTAAGAAATATAAGTTTTATTAGTTATATATATAAGCGTCTTATTAGAATTAGATTATATTACTACTATTATTATTAGTAGCTATTATTAGTAATAAGAGCAAAATGTATAACACTAAAATTAGTAACTCCGAAACGGGCACGGTGACCCGTGACTGGGCATAGGCTGAGACAGGAGCTTGCCGACGTTGTGTCTCACGGTGAACAACACCGTTGGGTTCATGCGAACGGGATGACTACACGCGGACGATACCAAACGAAGCCACACTCTCAGCAACAGATACATGGCATATTCACCACACGATCGTATGAAGCGCAAGACGAGAGACTGAGTGACGTCACACGAATAACATCTCTATACTATGAATATGCTTTATAGTACAAGTCTATCAGATGTGCTCGAAAGCACGGGGTATCAAAGAAAAAAATGAGGTAACAAACAAAACTCTAAATGCTCGCTTGAAAGGACTAAAGGGGGCGTTGATGAAAGTACTGGGACATGAAGACTTCGTTGCACGTGAGCTCTTCAGCTTTGTGTGGTGTACATGTGTATGTGGTCATGCATTTGCGATGTAGTGTCGCGGTAGGGTTGATGCTGCTGAGGCATCAGGTGATGTTGAGGGTGTTGAGGATGTTGAGAATGCTGATGGTGTTGTGGGATGTGATGCTGGGGCTGCTGATGCTGATGAGGGTGACGCATGCCCATTGCGGCAACACTGTAGTCAGGAAGCATCTCTGACGAAGCTTGACTCATCTGCGATGATGGTCTCTGATTCGAAGAGCTGCCTCTTGAGCTGCTTATCCGACTGCCTATCTTGTGGAGCGGCTTCGATATCATTTGACCGAACGAGGGGCGGTCGTAGTATTGCGACTCTTCGAATTGGGGAGCAGCACCGAAGTAGTTGGGATACAGTGATTCCAGTGGGTTGGGTGTAACCTTGACTTGGTCCATGTACTCCTGTTGGTACAACTGCGTGTGCTGCTCGTGATCCATGACTGGCGTGGGGTGTGCATGGGGTGTATGCATTGTGGATGTCGTCATAGCCGGTGGGAGATCAGGAATAGCCGGTTGCGCTACGTCCAAGTAATCTCCAGGGTCCACGTCCATATAACTGATACGGCGGCTGGCCGTATCCACTGCGGGCGCACCAGGCGTCTGCGGCTCCACAAATGGAGACGAGCCGCAATCGTAGTCAGGTACGTGCGCCAACGAACTACTGATGCGTAGCAAAGCTGCGTTGATACTTGCGAGACGCGCTCGTGAGTGATGCGGATTTGAGTTTCCGATGAGTATGTGCATCCGCTGCTCGCGCGACAGCTTCTCAACATGCGGCACGGAATCTCTCGAGGGAGTTACGAAGCCGGTGGGTAACTGTTGATGCACAGGGTCCAGGGGTATATCAGCGCGTAGACTCAAGGCGGTAATCAAAACCTCTTCCCGACTCGGTCGAAGGTCACAGCACTGGAGCTTCTGTCGGAGGATTCGCGAGTTGTCGGGACACCAACTAATCTGCGACCGACTCTCTCGCAATCTCTCATCCAAGCAACCGATAAGCTCTTTCCATGTGTCGTGGAGAGCTTCCTGTCGTATTAGGTTCCTGATCACATTAGAGTATTTCCATTGGTCCATCGTCGCGCCATTCTTCATGTGCTTCGCGACGTGGTCGCATCGCTCATCCCAACCGATGCTGACTTCTTTACACTTGTCGAACCCGCAACCAAACACTCTTCGCGGCAATAATGTGATGCCGATGTCTGTCAGCGACGGCAGGGGTCGACCGGCGTGGTAGCGTTGATGATGCTTGATGAAATCTTTCTGTCGGTCAAAAATGCGGTTGCAACCGTTGACGACACATGGCCAGTCTTCTCCAGTCTCGTGCATCCTCATCTCATGTTTTTTCCAGTCAGACTTTGCTTTGAACGTCTTCTGGCTCTTCTGTTCGGCACAATACGTACAGAACATGAATGGCTCGCCCGACTGACTCTGTGACTTGTCATCATCCGGGTTCAGCGATGGAGAAGCAACACTAATGTCGTCTGTCGGCGTGTAGCTTGGTTCGATCTTGAGATCAAGTGGACTCTCAGTGTCCACCACAGGCATGGAAGCCGGCACCGGACGTGTCGGATCAAGACCAGCTGGGTAGGATCGCGGCTCTGCCCTTCTCATCCTAGAGCGCGATGACGAAGAGGAAGCAATGGAACTTCGCGTATCGCTACTCCCTGTAGATGAAGAAAATGTTGATGCCATAGAAAGCCGAGACCGCCATGATGACCCCGACGAGGATGTTGTAGATGAGCTCGCGGTGCTGGTAGACATGAATGACGAGGCTGTAGAGTTTCGGCCTAGACTTGGTGAGCATGTACACACAAAACAACACAACGAGGAACGTACGCGAATCTATCGCTTGAGAAAACATTCTCTGGATCAAATGTGGAGGATGCCTCGCCAGCAGGGCCTCAATGTGTCGCATAGACTCCTCTGGTATGTCTAGGTTGTCCTCCATTGTGGCGAGGGGAGAGCCGTATGCTCAGTTCAAATCGCGCAACAGAAGACTACTCCAACATGCCGACCATGAAGACCTTGCGACAACCCAAACGACAGAAAACTAGAACGAACGACAGGCGGAGGTGCAAAAGAGGGTGGGGAAGGGTATCCAGGTGTCGCGGTAAGACTAGGGGCCAAGGAGTGGATAATCGTGTATCCGAGCAGGCATCAGCTGCTGTTGGTGCGACAGTTGATATACAAGTGGGATCACCTCACGCAAAGGTGCAGCGGGGGATGCGGAAATGGCACGCTTCTAGAAGGCGTATGGAAGGATTGTAGAAGAAGCTAATTGAGGGCTGCTCGCGGGGGCGCTCGTGCGCAACATCGACATGACCACTGCCCTGGTTTGGCCTCAAAGCTGGGGCAAGGCTGAGGCTACGACAGGCATGCCAATATGTAGCGTGTTTGAGGTGGCCGCAAGGAACCGTAGTAGGGGCTGGGAGAGCACGAGGGCAAGCGACGAGAATGAAAGAGATAGTGTGCGCATCGACTGCTCAAGTCTCTTTCAGCGCCGTCTGAAGGCAGTTTTCGAGCCGGGTCGAGACGTGGCCGGACAAGGTGGCTGCGCGAGGCGATGATTCGCACAGACATGGTGTGCAGCAACACGCACCTATCGCAGAAACGCAACAGGCCATCCGCAACGAATCCATCCGAACACTAGGCCCTGTAAGGGGCATGCAGCGCGCGGTACCTGGATGACGCACCGCTGGTAACTTCTCGAAGTGTGTTGGTGCCGTGATGAGTGACATTTTTGGTGGGACCTGACAGGATTCATTCCTGCACGCCGAACTTCGGCATCACGCCTTCGCTTAACGCAGACGCAGCTATCGCAGCTCGACAGCCGGTCAGGCGTTGGACGAGGTAGCACGGCAGCCATTGTACATCGAGGAAGGACTCCCTCACAGCGCGCGCACGTCAATCAGCACTCGAATGCCCTTCCCACGACGACTTACTTGAGACGCGGTGGCTGACAGAATGGAGTGCTGACGGCAGGAGCACGTACCCCATGCATAAACGATAGCAGCGAATGAACGCTTTGGGACTGTGATTGTAACAATTGGGCTGCCGCACTGCAGTCCGTCATCGCTGAGGATGCCCTTGTAGCTCGAGGTCATCGCGTAACCACGCGCGATCAAAGGAAATATCGACTAGTGTAGGGTAATGTAAGGAGACGGGACTCTGCCATAACGGGCAGGAAGTGGCCGGATAAATTGCAGTAGTTCGAGATAACAGCCTTAGCTAGAGCGTTTGGTTGCTTGGTATGTGAAATCGGACGGAGCGTTAATCACGAAGACGTACTGTAATTAACTCCATCGCGCCTCTTCCATGTCGTCGTGAGCGCGTACCCACATTGGCGTGTCCCTGAAAAGCGGCGCTGTCGTTCGGGACCCGAACCGCCGCGGTACTCTCGAGGACGTCCAGACCGCGAACGGTTTGCCCAAAACGACGAGCAAAGTTTGGGCGAGAGTCAGGAACGGACTGAACTTTGGATGCGGCGCGAGGTGGTTGGCGCGACGCCCGGTTAACGTTGAATTTTACGTCACGTGGCGCGTGCGCAGCAGTTCACACGGTACTTGCGCAGGCAGGTCAAGAAGCACCATGACCCGAACGTACGGCGTAGTTCAATTGTGACAACATTGGTGTTACATCGCTCTGGGGCCCCATCCATCCGGCCCACATAGTAGAACTTATCGCTTGAACTCTGGTCCTCAGAAACTGCAAACGATATTGCTAGGGATTGTCTGTGAAACCATCAAAGCGCGCGGTAGTTGGAACGACTATTCAATTCTGTTGACACGCGGCATGGTTTCCGCACTCTGCGAATGAAATATGGAAGTATAGATATAGCCAGCTCATACAAAGTGTCCGTCGCAGTCAAAGTTACCCTCCGTCTTGAAGTTGCATGAACTCTCGTTTCCGCCTCCAGTGATACGAACGTTGTCGATCTTGATGTCGCTACAGCTTCCTTCTCCACAGAGGATGTAGTAGTTCTTTCCTTCCTCAGTTGCAGTGCCAAAGATGTTCTTCATAGTGATGTTTTGGATGATGACACCGTTCGTGGGGTTGCCAGTTGGCCCACCGTTTAGGTAGTCTTGCTGGATGTCAATTCCGTAGATAGAGATGTTCTCAACGCGAATGTTCTCGTAGTGGATGTTGGAGATGAAACCGGTAGTGTTGGAATTCGACTTGATGCGGGCTCCGTTCTCGGCGTTAAGAACCACGGAGTTTGTGAATGAGATGTTTGTTACGTTGTTGTCTGAATAGATGTGGTTAGTAAAACATGATTATTGTATAGCTGGATGATGGGATGACATACTTGACTTTCCACCCACAGACCCGATGGACAGACCATGGCTACCATTGCAGTACATGTTGCTGACGTGGATGTTGTCTCCACTAGTGACAGCTACACAATCATCTTGGTTGATAACGACACTGTCGCGAACCTTGGTATGATTGGTGCTACTCAGACCAAATCCATCGCTGTTGTGTGCTGCAGGAAGACCGTTGGAGCGGTTGTTGGGCGCATATCCGTCGCTGTTGTCCAGCGTAATGTGGTGGACATCCAGACCAGCGCTGTTGCTGATACTGAAGCAGTGCACCGGGTAGTTCTTGATGTAGATGTCGTGTACTGAACTGTTTCCAAGCACCTTCACCTCAATGAAGTGGTTTGGCTTGGTAACGCCTCCATTACTACCCAAGCCATCCCACCAAGCCTGACCATTGCCATCAAGTACTGCGTCTTCTTCGGCAGTGATTTCGACATTAGTACCTGCCACCTTGATGAAGGCATAGTTTGCATCGGCGTACTCCCAGAAGGTCTTTCCTTTGAACGTAACCTTGGTTCCAGTCTTCAGCTTCGTAAGATCGATACTTGAGTTTCCAGGAACGGTGATGCCATCAAGTGTTATGCAAGTGCAAGCTGCGACTGCAGCCGGGATATCGGCGTACTTCGTCACGTAGCAGGCATCGGTCCCAGTTGCAGAAGGTGAAGGTACGGCAGATACAGTTCCCGCAGTGGCAAGAGCCAATGATGATGCAGCTATGAGTTCGTCAGTACAGAAATGGTCTAGGCTGCAAAGTGCTATTAGTACCGTGGAATCGCATGGTGAAGGTTTGAATCTGACGTGAGCGTTAGGTGAAGATGAGTATACGGGATCTTGACGAAGCTATATAAACGTATGCAGGGTCTTGGGTCCCCAGATAATCTGTTGAAGAGCCACCTGCATATTACCGACTAGTCGCCACATAATATTGCGCTCGGCCGCTGTAGTGGTAGAAGAACTGTAGCCTCGTCATTTCCGGCCCCAAAGCACAAGCACTTCAAGCACCAAAGCCAAGTCCAGACGATGCTTGACAGCAGTGCTATGCGAAAAGAGGCATTTGACCCACAAATCGGCATCCGGAAGCGTGCTATCATGGGGAACGGCTCGGAAGAACAGGGGGTACGGCTGGCCGGTCAGTGGCAAAAGGTCTAAATCGTGTTCTGTTTGGCCGATTATTGCAGATGTACAACGTGAAACATTCATCCGGAATGCCACCATGGCCGTAGTGCAAATGCGGAGCGACTGTGCGGAAAAAATGGGTTCCGTCCAACGGCGCGGCTACTTGGAAGCGTAGATGACGGGATGAGTGATCATTGAAATGATGGGGGTCAACGGCATCTGCGGATGCTGTACTAATCCACGAGCTTACGCGCAATCAACGAAGAGTGTTGAGACAATTTCATCTTTGAACACGGAAAAGCACCGATATACATACAGATATCGTGATGAACCTGCAATGACGGCTGAGCTATTAGAGCAAGCATGCGCGTTGGAAAGTGATCAGGGAAAGGGCTAGATGACTAGCGGCTTGGCACCTAGATCGATACGTGCCCAACCTTGTAGCTCCTCATCTTCTAGGCCCAGTGAGCCCTCACATGCATATACCGCCCACATCAACTCCGAATTTAGTCTTTGAATAGCGGAAGACGGAAAGGGGTGTTGAGAGAAATTCCATGCATTTCGCGCCGCCTCACATCGACATAAGGAAGACTCTCACGCAGAAGAGGTAAGAACACCAGGTTAAATCAGATCAGATGTTTAGTCATCTACGTCTCCAGAGTCAAGCTCCATGGCTGCGATCAGTCCCACGAAATCCAGCGCCGCGCAAAGGTCACATAGGTGTATCTTCACATCATTTCGCAATTCTCGGACCGAAGTCGACGGCGCACATGCAACCCATGATGATCTCTTCCGATCGCGCAAAGAGATGGCAAGCCAAACAAACGACACAACATGATGAATATCAAAGCATATTCTGGTCGTTTGGAGAAGTTAGGAGGTCATTGAGTTGAAGAGTCTTGATCGTGAGCGAAAGTCGCTTTATTTACACCTGGACGCCAGTACACAATTGGACATCTTTTCGCAAGATGGCAGTGGATATCCACTTCTGGCGATCAAAGCTTCTTGATCTCGCCGAAGAGCCTCAGACACATATTGCCTCCTTGTACCAGATCTTTCGACAAATTTCCTTCGAAGATCGCTCTCGCACTTCGATGGAAGTCTGGAGGCTCATCCAATCCATCATAGCTCATGATTCGTACCGTGTTCATTTTCGATGCCCGATCAAACCTCCAGGTTCGTTTCCAGAGAGAAGCCGAATCAGCATGATCCAAGCATCTCTGGATCTCGAGGACCATCGGGACAGGCGGATGCGTAGATCCCATCAAACGCGATTTTGTCGATTTCGCTCGAGCATGTATCGAGAGCATCAGCAGACCTGAGCACCGGCATGGTATTTTCGTTCATCAATATCGCAAAGCTCAGAGGATTACTGCCGCCAACGGTACAGCGACCTATTCGCAATCAGCTACCAATCTTAGAAATCACTACAAGGAAACTTACCAAGCCGACCAAACTCATACCCATCCCCACATCCTCGATCCTCGCCGCCCCACCAGTCGAAGCCGGTACCGTCATCCCTGTCGTAGGAGTCGCAGTTGAATGAGTCGCAGTTGACTTCGAAGCAGCAAGAGAAGCCGCCACCTGTGCGGGCGACAAAGTCTTCGCTGGATTTCCATACGGCCTAGACGCGACTTTCGACGCAGTCTCATCTTGATCGTCAGGAAGTTGCACATCAGGCACTTCAAAACCTCCAGTCGGTTTAGGTGCTTGGAAACCTCCAGTCATTTCAGGTGCGTCAAAGCCTGGTGTCGCTTCAGGGTCTGGTCGGTCGGCTGGCCGGTATGGATTGGGTGCTGCTGGTGCGGGTGCGATGGGTTCGATGATTTGGGGTTTTGGTGGGGTGGGGATGCGTGGTGGGGGGATGAATGCTGCTGATGATGTTGCGATGAAGAGGGTGTATAGGAGAGTGTGTGGTAACATTTTGACGGATAAGAAGACTTGAGGTTAGACGTGATGATAAAGGATTGACGGAACAAGACTAGATGGAAGAGGGGCGCGCATCGCGAGATATCTACTTGTTGTATCTAGGCGTCCATGATGTCGGTGGGTTTCAAGGCGCCCAGACTTATGGGCAGTGTTGTGCCAGGCACCTAGTGTTGTTGCGGCGCAGCAGCGAAAATCAAGGGTGGAAAATACGCCCTGCAGCCCCGCGATTCGGGCGATGCACGCCATGGCTTGATCCGTAATTTCAAAGATTGGGGGCCAAAAACACCAACCTCTGATATTTTCAAGAACTTGAAAATGACGTGGAATGAGGGACAATATGAGTAATCAAGGCCTTACTCTCAAATCGAATAGAGATGAGATGTGCGCAACACTGCGCCCTCTGAGATTTATCTTAGAAACGCCATCGCTATGCAAACACAAGGGTAATAATACACCGACAACCCACCGCTTCAGTCACATGTTCAAATGACACATGATCTTGGTCATCGTACGTTGCCGTATTAATAGATCATCGCGAGATGATCCCAATAAATTCCATTTGGAGTAGTGCTTCCGGACGAACTTCAAATGGAAAATATTGAGATCAACTCGAGATGATCTATTATTACGGCAACGTACAATAATCAAGATCATGTGTGTTCAAACGAACCGACCAACCACATCTCCCTCCTCTCACGATCATCGATAAACCTCGTCAAACGGCCTGGTGTCCCGGAAACAACTTTCCCACACCTCATTCACTACTTTCCCAGCATGCTCTTGATCCTTTATGCCCGGCCTCGCCATCATACTCAGCGTCGCCCTCCTCCTAACACAAGACTGTAATTGTTCCATGATATTCCATTGATTCCTCGTGAAGAACTCTCTCGAGAAACGGCATTCGCCGCTGAGTGTAGATGCGCGAATCTCTAGACAAGCCTGGTGGCGCAGGTTCTCAGGTTCGACTTTAAACTTTAGATGGTCCCACGCGTGAACCATCTCATGCGCCATGGTGTCTTCCTGATGCCCGCGATTGCGGAACTTGTTTGCGCAGAGCAGGATGCCGTGGTCGAGTGAGAAGCCACCAGATTGCTCGTTCGTGCACATGCGACAGAGAATGTTGTCTTTGTTCAAATCGCCGCCTAGCTTGTACACTTCGTCCGACATGAAGCGTATGATGGGGCTGTATTTCAAGAGGTATTCCTTGTTGGACTCGCAGCGCTTGCATATCGAGTCGGCTTTTATCTTGTCCATTTCGTTGAAGTAGCCTTTTTCTAGTTCGATGTCGCGGGAGCCTGTCATGCGGCCGAGCATTATGTTGAAGGTGCTGCTCCAGGTGTAGTATACGGGGTCGATCTTTTGGGGCGGCGGTTGGGCCATTGCGGAGAGGGATGCGCCGTCGGGCGCCGTCTCGGAGGTTGCCATCGTAGTAGGGCGTGGAGTGACGTTCGAGTTCAATTACGGGGGGATCAAGCGTTGGGCGTGCAGGTGTCGCGTGGCGTATAGATGTTTGGTGTAGGGCGTGGCATGTTCCTGATTCCCGGCACGAAAAGTTTAGGTGGAGATGGAGATGCAGCTGGTAGCGCGGGGAGCCAATCGGAGGGAAGACGTCACCGCGTACAAGGGAAGCCGAAGATCGCTTGCGAGGAAACTTGGGCAGCTTACAGTCATCCATTGCGCGACAACACACGAGCTGCGTGTTCATATAGTACACGACGCGTTGTACATATCTCACCGTCTCCTTCCGTCCAAGACTTATAGCCATCACCACCTTAGGGCTTTTGTCCCTCCCTCCGTCGCAATGGCCGTCCACATGCGCAAGCAGCCCGGCCAGCTCACCGTGGTAATAAAACTCGGTAAATACACAACCGTACATATGCCACATCGACAAGAAGAGAGCACCTAACCGACACGCCCAGGAACCTCATCCATAGTCGACGAGAAAACCCACCAACCCCTCCTCTCCATCCTCTCCCTCATCGTCGAGACAGCATGCAGTCTGCGCGCCGCCGGCCACCGCGTCGTAATCGTGTCTTCGGGCGCCATTGGTGTCGGTCTACGGCGCATGAACCTTCCTCGTCGTCCAAAGCACCTCCCACAAGTCCAGGCGCTCGCTGCTATCGGACAGAGTAGATTGATGTCTCTATGGGACCAGCTGTTTGGCCACTTGGAGCAGCCGATTGCTCAGATCCTGTTGACAAGGAACGACATTGCGGACCGGACGCAGTACCAAAATGCGCAGAACACTTTCATTGAGCTGTTAAGCATGGGCGTCATTCCGATTGTGAATGAGAACGATACTTTGGCGGTTACTGAGATCAAGTTTGGTGACAACGATACGCTGAGCGCCATTACATCGGCCATGGTCCAGGCGGATTACCTGTTCCTAATGACGGATGTGGACTGTCTGTATGACAAGAACCCTCGCACAAACCCAGATGCCAAGTCTATACCTGTTGTGGAAGACATTGCGGAGCTGGCAGCAGACGTCAGTTCGGCGGGCAGTTCACTGGGAACAGGCGGTATGAGCACGAAGATCGTGGCCGCGAGGCTAGCAACGAGCGCAGGTGTCACAACAGTCATCACAAAGAGCAGTAAACCAGGCAACATCTCAGGCATAATCGCGCACGCCGAGAAGCAAAGAAAGTCACGAATGTCAAGTCGAAACTCCGTCACCAACTTCCAAGACGAAGGCGCACCACTCGCACAAGCCGCATCTCAAGACTCCAACCA